TTTCTTTTTTATTTTTTTGTGGGGAAGTGTTTGACACAGGTTCTCCCTGTAGCTCCAGCTGACTTGGAACTCCCTGTGTAGACCAGGCTGGCCTTGATCTCAGAGAGATTCTCCTGCCTCTGCATGCTGGGATTAAAGGCGTGTGCTATCACACCTGACCAGCTCTTTCCTTTTTTTTCTTTTTTTTAAATTATTTTATTTTTATTATTTTTCATTTATTTTATGTGTATGAGTGCATTTCCTGCATGCATGTAAGTGTACCCATGTTGTGCAATGCCTGTGGAGGTTAGAAGAGGGTGTTGGATCCTAGATACCCTGGATCTGACAAGATGGTTGTTAGCCACCATGTGGGTACTGGGAATTGAACCTGGGTCCTTTGTAAGAACAGCCAGTGCTCTTAACTGCTGAGCCGTCTCCCTAGCCCCTCCTTTTTTTTTTTCTTTTTTCCTTATTTTCCTATTCTGTTTCATCTGATCAGTGCCAATTACTAGCTGCTTAATCTTGGGAATATTATTTAACCCTTTAGTGTCTCAGTTCTTTACTTTCAAAAGAGGAACAAAAATAGTTTCTACTCAGCGTTACGCATGTGAAAAGACTTATTACACCGTGCTCAGAACCTGCAGTATGTTTTCAGTAAGTACAAACTTCTTATCCTCACGGTCATCATTAGCCTAGACAGTGGAGGCTTGAATCTGCATTCATATGGAGTTCCATGGCTTCAGAGGATGGAGAGGGACAGAGCTAGTTCTAACCTTGTATGACCTTGGTTTCTCTGAGCCTCAAGCTCTTCTTTATATGGGATGGCAACACCTGCCTCACAGAGAGATAAAGCCTGAAGTCTGGCAGGCAGGAGGCACTTACAATGACTAATCTCTCATTCTCACACCCTTGGTTGCTGGTTCAGAACCAGGCAAATCTGGTGACTCTGACATCAGGTTTTTACATTTTACCTTGTCAGGGACATCCTCCAACCATGCCACTCTGATGCTGACCTTCAATTAAGGTGCAGGGACAAAGTGGTGGGCAAATATTTGCAAATCTTACCCTTCCTAATTGGCCCGCTGCTCAGTGGGTGATGTCTTGGCGTCTTCATGAGAGAGTTGGTGAGTAAGAGAAGGGCAAGCATTTGAAGTAGTGGACTTTTGTGGCTAATTCATACTTCCCAAAGGTCTGTTCTGGTGAAGCAGCTATTTCTGACTAACCACCACACCAACTCTCCTCTAAATCACCAGGAGAATCCTCACATGCAAGACCTTGATGCAAGGTCTGACTCTTGCTGGTCTTTCCAGCCCGATCTGCCTTCCAGTTCATGCCAGCCCTACCATCCTGCAGTCTCATGTCAACCTGGTGCCTTGGCACAGGTAGCTGCCTCTGCCAGGAATGTACCTCTCCACCCCTACCTCTTCTGTTGCTCTTCTAGGTGAACACATACTTAATCAGCCCCCAAGGAAGCGCTCAAGTTGCCTTTATGATTAGTCTCCTCTTCTAGAGTCCTCTCATCATCCCTTGAGCAAACTGGCATCATATCACAGTGCAGTGTGTCTGTGTGCCTATCTTCTGAGCTTCTTTAAGGCAAAGAGCCTCTCTATTCACCATTGACATCTCTGTATTGTGCAGTATCTGGCACCATGGGCACCTTCAGAGTTGTTAGAATTAAGAAATGAATGAGAAGCTGGGCATGGTGGTACATGCCTTTAGTCTCAACCCTCTTGAGGCAGAGGCAGACAGATCTCTGTGAGTTCTGCCAGCCTGGGGTATATAAAGAGTTCCAAGCCAGCCAAGTATACATAGTAATGAGAGAGAGAGAGAGAGAGAGAGAGAGAGAGAGAGAGAGAGGGAGAGAGAGAGGGAGAGAGAAACAAGCTAGGGAGATGGTTCAATCAGTAAAGTGCTTGCTACACAAACATGAAGATGAGTTCAAACCCCAGCACTCGTAAAAAAGCTGGATATGGTGCATATCTATAATCCCAGTATTGGGGAGATAGAGACAGGCAACTTCTTTGGGCATTCTGGGCAGCCAGTCTAGCCTAATCAGTGAGCTCCGGGCTCAGTGAGAGACTCTGAATCAAAAAATAAGGGGGATGGGGCCAGAGAGATGGCTCAGTGGTTAAGAGCACTGGCTGTTCTTGCAGAAGACCCAGGTTCAGTTCCCAGCAGCTAACAACCATGGTAGCTAACAACCATCTGTAACTCCAGTTCTAGGGGATCCAACACCCTCTTCTGACCTCCAAGGGCTTTGCATGACATGGGTGCACTTACACACATACAGGCAATACACTCATACACATAAAAAGTAAAACATTTAAAAAAAAAAAAAGATGGAAAGCAATTGATTGAGGCACCCAACATCCCAGAGGAAACCTCTGGTTTCCATACACACATGCACGTATACATGCATGGCACAAGTGAACACATGTTAAAACACATAGACATGTACAAGAAAGGAATGGATAGATGGTTGGACAGGCAAGTTAAAGGAGCTCCACCGAAGAGAGAGCAGCCCAACTTCATGTCAGCCTTTTTCTGGAGATAAGGATGTATAACCTTTCTCCCACATTAAACTTTGATCATCACCAAGCCAGTAACCGGTAAATTCTGGAAAATAGAACAGATTTCTGTTTGAACCATCTTCTCACCTGGTGTGGTGGCGCACACCTTTAATCCCAGCACTTGGGAGGCAGAAGCAGGTGGGTCTCTGAGATCGAGGCCAGCATATGTGAGTTCTAGACCAGCTGGAGTACATCTCAAAAATCCCAAAAAATAAAAATAAAGCCTTCTATCTCAGCACCCTTCCCCCAGAGACTTTTATTCTCAAGCGTGCACTTCAAAGCAAGGTAGTACATATTTACATATTTACTGAGAACCTACGGTGTTTGGGGGATGTCAGTGATACAGTAAGAATGAGCCTGAAAGACATTTCAGAAAATGACTGTGATTTTAAATCCATCAGAGACAGTATCATCTTCATACATTTGAAATTTGCTGTGGTTCCTCTGATGGTTCTTTCTGGAAGTACTTGAGATTTCAACATCAATGGAGAGGGACATGGGCAGCTCCCCATAGGAAATCACTCTCTTGCCAGAATACATTGGCTTTCCACCACATGGGAGTCCTGCCCCATAGGATTGTACAGGACTAAATAAATACTACTTTGTTTTCTTAGCACTTCAGCAAAATTAGATTCAAATGGGTGTTAGAAGCTGGCTGTGGTGGCACACACCTTTAATCCCAGCACTGGGGACGGAGGGGCAGGTGGATCTCTGTGAGATCAAGGCCAACTTGGTCTACATAGCTAGCTGTGACTAAAAGGAGACCCTGTGTCTATCTCAAAACACCGAGAGAGAGAGAGAGAGAGAGAGAGAGAGAGAGAGAGAGAGAAATGGGTGTTAGAATTATCTTCAATGAGGGTTCAGTGATGACTCAGTGGGGTTGTCACCAAGCCTCATGACCTCCTGAGTCCAATCCTGATGGGGACCCACATGGTGGAAGGAGAGAATAGAGTCCCATAAGTTGACCTCCACATAGGAACAATGGCATGAGTATACACACACACACACACACACACACACACACACACACACGGGTGCCCGCACACTAAATAAAAAATAACTTTTTAAAAAGAATCATCTTGATTGAGAAGAGAGTTGTAGTAAATCAGCCCATCCCTCTGATTAGGGGGTCCTAGGATTTCTGGTTGCACATGTTGGCCTATTTCCCCTTTAGTCATTATTTGGCATCATCTTGACTTAGAGATACAAGGTCTTGTACTGGACCTGTCATAGCACCAGAGCAGATAGGCTGAGCTGACTCCAAATCTGTTGTACCATTCCTGGGGCTGTGGAATGATCAAGGAATTGTGCTGGTCAAGCCTCAAGCCTTAGCTAAGCCTCATCTCAAGATAGCCTTTTCTCTCTTCCAGCACCTTGCTTAGTCCTGTGATCAGCACAGGGCACAATGAGGCACTAAGTTAGAAGATGTAGACCAGAGGGCAAGAGCTAATGAGGGCTCCTCAAAGAGGCGTTGGTAGCACGCAGCACTGCACTCAGGAGCAAAGATGGAGCTTTCAGGAGTACATGGGTAATCTCTGAACCTGGAGGTTACAGGAACACATGAGTCTAGAGGTTTGGGAGCAAGTAGAAGGTTCAGGACTCAACAGACACTGTGGTCAGGAAAGGGCCATCTGTATCTGATCAGTTTGGAAACATGGGGCTTAAGTGTCTTGCAGCTGTTCTGCAGCAGGCTGTGATTCAGATCCTCTATAGGATGCCTCTCCCTCCCATCTGCCCCACCCCATCACCCTACCCCCAACACCCTTGAAGAGATAGTTTACTATGATTCATTCCAGTAATAAGACCCACTTTTTGGGAGATAGGGTGGCCTGGAACTCACTATGTCAGACTGGCCTCAAATTTGTGGCAAGCCTCCTGCCTCTGTCTCCTGAATGCTGGGATTACAGGCCATGAGTCACCATACCTGGCTAATGCCTACTCTTTTACAGCATTGAGAGACCTTACCTGGAGGCCAGCAAGATGGCTCAACAGGTAAAAGTACTAGCCTGATGACTTAAGTTTGAATCCTCAGGTCCCATGATGGAAAGAAAGAACCATCTCCTGAAAGCTGTCCTGTGATCTCCACATGTGTACCATGGCACACATGCACCGGAACTCACATCATGCATACTCATTCAGTGATAATACGTTTATTAAAAAATTATTAAAGCCGGGTATGGTGGCTCACGCCTTTAATCCCAGCACTCGAGAGGCAGAGGCAGGCAGATCTCTGTGAGTTCAAGGCCAGCCTGGTCTACATAGTGAGTTCCAGGACAGCTGGGGCTACAGGGAGACCCTGTCTCAAAGAGACCAAAAAAAAAAAAAAAAAAAAAGATTAAAAGCAACCTACCCAGAGTCTGCCTAGAGCAAGGTAGAGGTGCTAGGTTTTCATCCATAGCACACACCTCTTCCTGGAGCCTCTCTAACCCAGGTCTTTACCTCTCTCTGCAGTCCCATCCCCTGTACCTGTGCAACGCCAGTGATGATGACAATTTGGAGCCTGGATTTATCAGCATCGTCAAGCTGGAGAGTCCTCGACGGGCTCCTCGCCCCTGCCTGTCGCTGGCCAGTAAGGTAGATTCTCACATGACCCTACTCGTGTACTGAGCTGCTTTCTTGTCCCCTTGTCTCTTAAGAGTGATATGATATGCCTGATTGCCTGAGGCTGCCTTAGCTGATGACTGGTCATGGAGTGGTAGACATTCATACCTCTGTTCCTATTCCACTTACCCCAGAACTTCTAGCATGAATTTCACCCCACTTCTTCCATCACTTAGGAGTTTCTAAGGCCCTTCCCCTCCTCAGCACCAGAGCAAAAAGAGGGGTCACTTGAAGGGCTCCTCCATTCTTCAGAAACACCTGCTGAGCACTTTCACAGGAACAGAAAAACAGCCAAGCGTGTGGCTCATGCCTGTAATCCCAGCAATTGGGAGGCTGAGCTAGGAGGATTGCTGTGAATTTGAGGCCAGCCTGAGCTACATAGTGAGTACTAGGTTAGTCCAGGCTACATAGCAAGACCCTGACTCAAAAAAAAAAATCCATCAAAACAGAGATATCATCCTTAGCCTTGAAATGTTTACACATTTCCTCTGAGGTTTGTTAACTGCTGGCCTGCAAGATAGCTTTGGCTTGCCCAAGCATTGTGTATAAATTAGGACTGTGAATGTAGCTCAGTTGGCAGAGTGCCTTGCCTAGAACACACAAGGCCCTGAGTTTGCTCCCTTACATTGTTAAAACCAGGCTTGGTGGCACATGCCTGTAATTCCAGCGCTTGGCAGATAAAGGCAGAAGGATCATAATTCAAGGTCATCCTCAGCTACATAGTAAGTCTGGAACCAGCCTGGGATATATGAGACCCCGTCTCAAAATAAAAACAAACAGGGTCTGGAGAGATGGCTCAGTGATTAAGAGTCCTCTTGCAGAGGACCCTTGTTTGGTTCCCAGCAACCACATGGTGGCTAATAACCATCTGTAATTCCAGTTCCAGGGTATCAGATGCCCTTTTCTGACTTCTAGGGGCATCCATTGTATGACATGGGTACACTTACATACATGCAGGTAATACACTCATACAATACACATAAAATAAAATAATAAAATATTAAAAATAAATGAAAACCAAAAAATTTCCAGCCAAAATGTAAATTAATTTCTACATTTAAAAAATGGAAAATGTTAGTCAGGCATGGCAACACAATGCTATAATTTCAGAGTTATGGAGGCTGAGGTGGGAAGACCACAAGTTTGAGATCAGTCTGGGCTCCATATAGAAACCCTGTCTCAAAAACCAGACAAAAAATTTTTTTCCAGCTTTTCTGGAAGACAACTCAGAAGCTCTAGCCATGCCTGGTCAATAGTCCTGCAGGCCATTAGTGAGCAGGAGCTGAGCTGCCCACTTTCCTGGGCTCTCTACTTTGCTGGCCTGCCACCTGCTACCTTGTGAACCCTTTACCTAATGATGACAGTTTCTGTTCTGTATGCTTACCTGTGTACCCAGGGGAACAGGGAACAGTCTTTATATTTATTTTGGATTTTGAAACAGAGCCTTACTCTACAGCCCAGGCTGGCATCTAAGTCTCAGGAACAGTTCCCCACCTCAGCCTCCCAAGTGCTGGGATTACAGGTGTGGGCAGAAAGGCGGACATAATAGCTTTCCTTTAGATATAAAATGCAAGCAAGGATTGAAAAATTAAGTAACTTGCAGGAGAAACACAGTTCAGAAGAGGTAGAAATAAGATTTGAACTCAACCCTGTCTGGTTCTCAAACCTAGGCTTTTAATCTTTCTGTTCTGCCTTCCATTCTTGATTTCTAACTGGGAAAACTGAATGTCTGCTACAGACTGCAGTCAGACTGTGTGTGGCACAGTGGAGAGAAAGGGTCCTGATCTCAGGGGTGGTAAGAGAGGAGAATGACACCCCAACCTTTGCATAGATTCCTAAGGGATTTCTTGGTCTTCCCGAGGGCTTCAAGGACATACCTGGGTTCTGACCTCATCCTACAGGGCAGGGATATAGGCAGATTCTGTGACTGGGCTGGGGGTATAGCTCAAGGATAGATACTTGGCTAGCATACAGGAGACCCTGGATCTGATCCCAGAGCTGCCAAACAACAAACAAGAACAAAACAAAAAGCAACAGTGAGCGATACCCATAGGCAGGTAAGTGTGGATGCTCTCCTGGCCTAGCCACGATGATGCAGAAGTGGGGTCCAGGGGAGGTAGAAGCAGGGACATGCAGAAGAGGCACGTGTAGAGGAGATGGAGAGTGTGGCATCTCTGGAAAGCCTCAAAAGGCCTTAACTGGCAGCAGAAAATTTTTTTTAGTGTAAAACTACTCTGTTTATGGATACTTAATTTCTTTTGCTTTAAAAATTTAGGAAAATGTTCATTTGGGAAGCATGGGCTCGGTATCTGCTCTGTGTTAGGTAGAGTATGAGTATGGAGCATGGGGAGTTGGGCAGTTCATAGAGGCTCTGGTGGGTTTTTTCCCCTTTCTTCTTCCTTTTACTTTTTATAAAAGAAATATATGCTTATTCTGGAAATTTTACAGGAGAATGTGATAGCCCATTCTAACTCTGCCACACATAGTACCTGCTGTTTTCTGCTGTTTGAAACAGTCTTACCATGTAGCCCATGCTGACTTCAAACTCACAGTCATCCTGTCTCCACGTCTCAAGTGCTGGATTACAGGTGTGCAGTAGCACACTCTGTTTCTGAAGTTCTTTTAACACAGAATGTGATTTTACCTCACCTGCATGCTTGGCAGACCATAAGGGCACATCTTCCCAAGAGGCTTTCTCCTTGACCTCTGGAGGATCACACTCCTGTTTATTTGTTTATTTATTTGTTTGTTTGAGACAGGGACTCCCTGTTGCCCCAGCTAGCCTGGAACTTACTACTTGATATATAGACCAGGCTGGCTTCAATCTCACAGAGATCTGCCTGCCTCGGCCTCCTGCATGCTGGGATTAAAGGCATGCGCCATCATGCCTTTTAAATGTGAGTGGTTTTTGCCTGTATGTATGTATGTGAGTGCTTGGTGAATATGGAGGCCAGAAGCTGTCTTGGAACTGGAGGTATTGATGGCTGTAAGCTGCTATGTGGGTGCTGGGAACCAAACCCAGGTTTTATGCAAGAGCAGCTCTTAACTGCTGAACCAGCTCTCCAGCCCCAGGACCACATTCTTGTAGAAGTGTAAGGGACATGTGTTCAGTGCCCTTCCAGGTGCTTGTTGGGCTTCTGTTTTTCTATCATCATAAAATGATCGATTTTCTATACCCATGATTGTTGTAAGGAAAAAAGTAATCTGTCCAGCAGTACCTGAGCTAAAACACACACACACACACACACACACACACACACACACACACACAGACACACGCATACACACACACACACAGACACACGCATACACACACACACACAAAACTGAGGGTCTAGAGAGCTGGCTCAGCAGTTAAGAGCACTGACTGCTCTTGCAGAGTACTCAGGTTCGATTCCAAGCACCCACATGGTGGCTAACGACCATCCGTAAATCTAGTTCCAGGGGAATCTGACACCCTCTTCTGACCTCTGTGGGCACTTTACAACACAGATGCACTTACATACATGCAGGCAATACCCTCATACATATAAAATAAAACTAAGCCAGCCATGGTGGCACAGGCCTGTAATTTCAGTACTCAGGAGTCACAGGCAGAAGATTGCTACAAGTTCAAGGCCAGCCTGGTCCACATTACAATATTCAGACTAACCAATGCTATATGCTAAGACCTTGTCTCAAAAACCAAGCAAGGACTGAGGATATAACTTCATTGGTAGAGTGTTTGTTTAGGATGCATGAAACCCTGGGTTCAATTCCCAGCACCACATAAACCAGGAATGATGGTACACACCAATAATCCCAGCACTCGGGAGGTGGAAGCAGGGGGATCAGAAGTTCAAGGTTATCCTTGGCTACATAGAAAGTTCAAGGCTAGCCTGAGCTACATAAGACAGAGGGTGGGGAAAAAAACAAGACAAAAACAACAACAAAAATCATGTTAGGGATTTAAAAGGAGTAAGTAAGGAGTGGCTTGGCTACTGCCTGGAGACCACAGCTCTGTTTCTTCCCTGAAGTCACTTCTTGCTTGGTGTGTTAGACATTTTGTTGCTGTGACAAAATAAGCAACAATTTAAGGGAAGGTTTATTTTGGCTTATGGTTTCGGGGGCTTCAGTTCACGGCAGACTGGCTCAATGCTTCTGTGTCTGTGGGGAAATGGGGAGATGGTGTATCATGATCAGGGTGCGAGAGCATGGCAGAGTAGAGCAGCCCATGTCACGGTGGCCACAAAGGAGATGAAGGGAGGGTGGGCGGACGAGAGCTTACCCTCGTAGGCTTCCCCTCCACCCCCCGTTATACCATCTGTGACCCCAGTATATGGGATAGTGCCATCCACATTCAGGGCAGGACTTCCCCTTTAATTAATCTCTCTGGAAACATCCTCCATATACACACCCAGAGGTGTACTTTACTAATCCCCTAGGTGCTTCTCAGTTCAGTCAAATTGACAGTCATGATGAACCATCCACACATGGCCTCTCTCTCGCTGCTACGGGAATTGCTCAAGCTGCAAGCACATCAGTTGCTTCCAGTTGGTGGAGTCCAAGGCTTCTCTTTGGTCTCATTTTTGACCTGACCAACTGGCTTTTGTTTTGGGTCCCCTGGCTCAGAAGAGATCTGTGGGATTAGGGCCTTCAAGCTACTTCTAGTATTTCAGAAGTTCCGCAGTCTAAGATCGAAAGATTCATTTTTGCTTTGTGTTTGTGTAATTCTCTAAATTCAGTGTGTTAATTCAAATTAAATAATAAGATGAATTGTACACAATACATGTGGCTGGTTTAGTGGAATATGTATATATTTTTTAATATGAGTCATGGGAAGTATAAGGAAAAGATCTTCAGTGAGGAAAAATCTGAGAGACACTGATCCAAATTGATTTCTGTTCACTTTTCCCTTAATATTAATGATAAGTCAGGTGTGGTGGCACACACTCATAATCCCAGCACTCAGGAGGTAGAGGCAGGAGGATCAAGAGTTCAAGGTCATCTTTGGTTACGTATCGAGTTCAAGCATAGTCTGGGATATATGAGACCTTGTTACCAAAAGGGGGGGGAGGGGTGATTAGAAGGAAGGAGCGAGCAAGCCATTATAATTAACTGGGGTTTGATTCACCTCTCTGGGCCTCTACTTCCTCATCTGCAAAGGGGAATAATAATGGACCTTATACACGAATAGTTATAAGGACTTAATGAGACAGTACAAATGTGAACTCGTAGTCCAATGCAAAACATAGTAATCATTCACTAAATGACTACAACGACCATCACAGGCATCATCATGCCATGCTGAGTGATTGTTTTAATTCATCTGGTTGGATTTGGTTTTTCTGGCTCTGGACATTGAACCCAGGGCCTTGTACATGCTAAGCATCTGTTCCACCGCTGAGCTACATCCCTATCTTCCTGCCTGTGCCTTTTCAGTTCAAAGCTGTCTTTAATTTTTTTCTATTTGTTATCTCACTTCTCTGAAACCTTCACCATAACGCTGTTGGGCTTGTCCATTGTTTTTTTTTTTAATTTTAATTTTTTTTTATCGTATGTGTATGAGTGTATTGCCTGCATGTGTATAAGTGTACCCATGTCACGTAATACCTATGGAGGTCAGAAGAAGACATCAGATCTCCTGGAACTGGAGTAACTGAGTTACTGGTGGGTGCTGGGAATTGAACCTGGGTCCTCTGTAAGAGCAGTCAGAGCTCTTAACTGCTGAGCCATCTCCATTCTTACAGCTACTTTCTCCCAGTCACCCAAGCTGCTGTCTGCTTCTTCATTAGTGCTTTCACATTCCCTTACCACCTTGAGCCTAGACAAGTGTAGTGGTCTTTTCCCTAATGGCAGAAGTTAGATCTGGAGAGAAGCAGGTGAATACCAAGGCACCCACTACCCAGTGTTAAGAGCAAATATTCTCAAGCCGGGCATGGTGACACACACCTGTAATCCCAGCACTCCTGAGGTTGAAGCAGTAGGATTGAGAGTTTGAGGCCAGCCTGGGCCTTTGCCTTGAGACAAAATAAACAAACAAAAAGCAAGCACTCTGGAGGCTAAAGTCCTGGATGGTAAAGTTCAGCCTCCACTGTTTATCAGCTGGTGTCTAAGGACCAGTTATGCAGTCTCTCTGAATTTTGGTTTCCTCACTGTTTTGTGGGCTATTAAGGAACAAATGAATGCATGTATGCAAATCATATGGTAATAGTTGATATAATAGCTAACACTGTGTCAGGCACAACTCTAAATGCTTTACATGGATTAATTCATGTAGCCCTCACAATAGCTTTGTGAAGTAGGGCTCGTTATTGTCCCAGTTTATAGAAAAGAGAATGCACGGAATAGCTGGCCATGGCTGGACAGGGCTGGATTCACTATCAGGCACTGTGATCAGGGTAGATCTCAGCAAGCGTCATTGGTCTTCTCCTTCCTTCTACCCTTGTTCTCAAGCACAGCTGAATGTCACTTGTCCTACTGAATCTTTCCTGCCTGACCCAGCCCAGCAGAGGCAGAAATCCCTCCCTTCCTTCAGCACGCCTTCCGGCAGGTGGGGTATTCACCCAAATGAGTTTTCAACACAATGTTCTGCCAAGTCTGGGTTTCATGGAGGTGCCTGGGGGAGGGTGGCAAAGACTTCTTCCTTCACTCCTCCCTCACAGGAAGCTGCCTCACATTTGTCTGTTTTGTGCATTGAATATTTGTGGCAGATTGGTGGGGAGGCAGATCAGAAGGAAAGGCATTCTGAAGTGCGAAGGGCTGGACTATTGTCTATTCTTTTCACCTAGGTTCTAGAATATTGTTACTATTATTATGAACTTAAGTACATAGGGACCTGATCTTCCCTGGCTTGGTACCCTGGGCACAGTAGGGTGCTGTTGCATTATGGATGAGCAGATGTACAGAAACTGCCACTGTGCACTGTAGAGGAAAATCTACCTGCTGATTAGTGGAGCAAGAGGCAGGGTTTCAGCTCCCTCTCCTGCATGCTGGAAAATGGCTCCAGGTGTAGCCTTGCTTGCTAGCTGCCTCAAGGTCTGGCCCATCCTGAAGCATCCAAAGAGGTCCCTAGGGTATATTTCTGAAGCCCGGGCTTCCTCTCTGTCTTCCAGATTCCACTCCTCAAAGAGATACTTCTTTCTGAATCTCCTGCCCTCTTGGGTGCAAGTGGGCAGGAGGCACAGAACACCGGGGTTGGATTGCCATCTATCCTTCAATCTTGCTTTTGATTCCTAGAATTCTGGACATAGGAGCCCACTACCTGAAAGTCCTGTTTATTTTCTCCTGTTGGCCAACACTCTGGGCACTTTGATCACTTTTACAACTTTGTAATTATGGGCTATAATGGGCTATGGTGTTTGAACATCACAGTAATTGCTTTCTTCTGTTCCTACCCCAATTCTTCAAAGAGAGTAGGGTGAAGAATTAAGAAAATCTCCAGAGAAGTGAGTCTTTGCCTGTCCTCATGCTCTTCCAGGCCACACTGGGCCCAGAGTCTTGTTTGGGGCATAGGAAACCCCGAGGCCTCAGGGATCTCAGTTCTGTGACAGCTAGGGCACCTCTCCCACTGTTCACCAAGTTCCTGGACTTTGAAATTACTAGTAGGATTCCCTACCAGGAGTTCCTTTCCCGAGCCCTCATTTGAAGGGTGCTGAAGATTGGAAAGCTTTCCACTTGGGGGCCTCAGGTGTAGTGGACTTTCTGTGAAGAAGTGGACAGAAGGACAGTGGAAGCTGTGACTTCTCAATTTCTTCCATGATCCATTCTGGAGTTCTGTGAATTTCCTCAGGACTTGGGGTGGGAGTCAATTAGTCTAGGCTGGCCTAGGCTGGACCTGGAGAGAGCCCAGCCTAGCTCCCCAGAGCAGGAGAGAAGAAAGTTATCCTAACCAAAATAGGGCCCCACTTGAGTATCTCACTGCCCTCCTCCTGCCCCCTCCCTGCAGGCAACTGGCTCAGAGAGGCCCACTAGCCCCTGCTGCTTGCTTGGGGAGTGGGGAAGAGAGCAGAACCTGAAACTGCTCCCAGCCTGCCTGGCAGACCTGCCCCAACAGGCTCTCCCTGGGAAGACAGGCCTAGATCAAAGCACTGGGAGGATGAGTAAGTCCCTCACTGGCTTCTCTTCCTGCCACCATGACTTGCAGAAGGGTTAACTCCTTCACTGCCTGCAGGAAGGTCCTGGCTGGGAGATGGGGATGTGGCAGGTCGAACCTATGCTCTGGTTGATCTGACCCCAGGCCCAGAGCAGCGCCTTCACAGTGTCTGTGCCTGGCGGTTGGTTGTTGTGTTGGGTGTTGCTGTTGTGCTCTTATCTTCCTCCTTTCATTCCCCCACATGCCCCCAGATTCCCCCCACCCCGGACTCTTCTATCTGCTCTGCATGGCTGGCTAGATTTTGCTCTTCCACGTGTGCTCTTGTAGTCTTTGGTGAGCGTCCGTGTGTACCCGTGCACAGTTGTGTCCTTGCGGGAGCAGTCCCTCCCAGTCTAGTCATCTAAGGGAGAGGATGAAGGGATGAAGCAGCAGACAAGGAATCTAAGCCCTTGAATTGGAACCAGAGAGCACTGGCGAGCTAGATGGGCAGGGAGAGAGCACCTGTGTGATGGGCTAAGGCGAGGCGTGGGGTCTGCCACAGAAGCCTTGGGTCAGAACAGTGTCCCAGGTTCTCAGCACTCTGTCTGCACCGGGGGAACATTCCACAGACCCCTCTGGTCAGGGAGGGCTGGGCCCTGCATGGCCCAGCTATGTGCTGAAGGAGTTCTTTCCTCTTCTCTCCCCTCTTCCTCTGTATCCGTCATCATGCTGGTCACTCCCTGTCCTTTGCTCTATGAGAGCAAATCTGCTTGATCCCTGAGGCAGGAGCAATGTCGTATCTGTCCTTAGCCCTAGAGCCAGAGCCACCACCTGGCACCCAGTAAACCCTGGATGGGGGTTTGTTCTGTTACAAAAGGAAAGACTGAATGCTGTTCTTTGAAGGCAGTGGGCTGGGGCAGGCAGGGATCTCACTCTCCCTGACTCCTTGTACCTGTACTTGTGAGTGTGCAGAGGTGCACTGGAGTACACATCCTAGGAAGAGATGAGTGTGTGGGACTGAGGCGCAGCTACGACTGCGCTGTACCCTTGTAAGCCTCTGCTATGTTTCTGCAGGCCCGCATGGCTGGTGAGCGAGGAGCCAGTGCGGTGCTCTTTGACATCACTGAGGATCGAGCTGCTGCTGAGCAGGTATCAGGGACATGGGAGTGTTCCAGGAAAGGGCTGGGGTTCCCGGGGGGAGAAGAAATCACAACAGCTCTTAAGGCACTTTCTTCTCTACAGCTGCAGCAGCCCCTGGGGCTGACTTGGCCAGTGGTGCTGATCTGGGGTAATGATGCTGAGAAGCTGATGGAGTTCGTGTACAAGAACCAGAAGGCCCATGTGAGGATTGAGCTGAAGGAGCCCCCAGCCTGGGTGAGCACGTCAGGCCTCCAGCCTTGCACCAGCACCTGCAATCACCTCCACTTTGCCCACCAGCCCCACGGACACCTTCAAGTCCAACTCCATCCTTCAACCATGTGCCTCTTGGAGTTTCTCCCTCTCTGGTCCTCATCTACAGGATGAACAGATTGGGCCTGATGAGTTCTGAATTTGCTTTCAGCTCTGTGGTTTCATGGCATGGAGCAGCAGAACCTGCCTGCCTGGTTCCTGCACCCTCAGCCCCTGGTGGGTGCCTCTCTACTCCCTAGGATTTTCACCCAGCTGCTCACCAGAAAGCAGCTCCCACCTCACAAAAGGGTCCTTTCCTTCTTTTTCCCCAAACACATGGGTTTCCAGATAAGACTTCTCACAGCTACATCTAGATCATCCTCTTCTGCAGCCCCCAGGCAGAGAGGCACTACCTAATCCTAGGTTCATCCCTCAGCTCTCAGGGCTGGGGGGTGCTCAGGAGACCCTTCAGCTCCTCGTCTCCCTGTTCCTCCTGTTCCTTCCCATCTTGGTCCAGGCCCTTCCAGGATATAACCCTTTTCCTCTCTGCTTCCCCTCACCTCCCCAGCCAGATTACGATGTGTGGATCCTCTTGACTGTGGTGGGCACCATCTTTGTGATCATCCTGGCTTCAGTGCTGCGCATCCGGTGCCGCCCCCACCACAGCACGCCGGTGAGCAGTGTGCACTGCCTGGTGGGAGGGGGAAGGAAGAACGTGAGCAAGGCAGGTGCCTTTATGCATATGAAACAGTTTACACCTAAACTTTCTAGGCTCTGATTTCAGGCAGCCTCTCCCCGTGTCACCCAAATATTCATTCAGAAAATACACTGAGCAATACATATCAGACACTGTTCCAGGTGCTGGAAACGGCACTGTGAGTGAAAACGAAAACCTCTACTCATAAGAGGTTTTCATTCCAGAGGGAGGAAACAGACAATAAACAACATAAGTAAAATGTGTAATAGTTTTGATAGGATGTGCTTGCTACAGAGAAAAATAAAATAGCAAGGAAGAGAGGGAAGGCGCAGGAGACAGGGCTACCTTCTAAAACACAGTCCAAGTAAGTCAGCACTGAGAAAATGGCAGTGCAGCGCAGACCATGATGAGAGAACATTTGATCTATCCAGGGGTCTGGGGAGAGTGTGATAAAGTTGGAAAGAACAGTAACTGCAAAGACCTTGAGGCGGAAGTACGCCTGGGCTGCTGGAGGACTGGCATGAGGCCTGGACTAGGGAGTCAAAGGGCAGAGGAGGCCAGCCAGGTCAGGAAGTTCACCCGGCTTCCTAGTATTAGACTATTCAGGCGATTACCAGGCCCTTTTTTTTTAAAAAAAAAAAAACTTGGGTGAAATGGGAACTACTGGAAGAATCTGAACACAAGGAGTGCCATGAGCATTTAACATGATCACTTTTTTTTTCAGGGCTCTAAATTAGTTTCTTGTGTCCTCCATTATCATGACTTCTCTTGCGACAAAACTAAAATATACATCCGTTTCTTGCTCTTCTGAAGCGCCTCCACAATTCCTCAAACACTCCCAAGATTCTTTAGGTCTAGAGACAGGCCGCTTTTTTTCTTCTGCCGGGCCTCAGGCTCACTCCATAGTCGCGGGGTACGGTGGGGCCCCCCCGCCGCCCCAAGCCAACTTCCGGGGCTGGGCGGGGCAGCCCCACGATCACTTTTTTTTTTTTTTTTTTTTTTTTTTTTTTTGTAAGATGGCAGAGCATGAGAGCATCTCTAAGGCCGGTTCTTGAATGCACTGTTGCACAAACAGCACGTAGGGAGCATTTCCGGAGCAGAAACTCCCGTTTCCCACCGTGCTGTCTTTAATGCTGCATTCTAACCCCTTTTTACATATATTCGTATGGAGCTTGGCTCGTGATAAAGAGCACAGATATGGAGAGGTGGCTGGCCTTGAACTCACAGAGATCTGCGTGTCTCTGCCTCCCAAGTGCTGGGATTACAGGTGCCCGGCCATCAAGCCTGGCTAACATGATCACTCTTAATACTGTGTGGAGAATTGGCCCCAGGAAAGCAAGGCTGGATGCAGGGAGACCAGATAGGCAAGTGTTGCCAAAATCCAGGAGCAGTGGTGGCTTAGATTAGGGAGATTGTAGTGAAAGCAGTGATAACCAGTTATTACAGGTATATTTTGATGGCAAAGCCAGCAGATTTAATGATGAATTGTTTATGGGTATGAGACAGGGAGGTTAATGATGGCTTCAAGATTTTCTACCTGAGCAATTAAAAGAATGCTATTCATGAGGTGGAGAGGATTAGGGCTCAGGGAACAGCTGTGTAGTTGGAGGCAGCTAGTGGGATTAGTTCAGTTTGGGGCATACTAAATTTGACATACCCAAGTTAAGAAGTCAAGAATCAGTCAGATAAAAAGTTTCTCTCATGGGTCATCAAAGGAACACAGAGTAATGGAGTAAAACAAGGTGGTAGGCTGGGAGGTCACAGCCATGTATGAGCTGTGAAGGGATACACCCCCCAAGGGGGGTCATTTGGCTGTGTGATCTAATGAGGTGATCTAATGAGGTGACAGAACTGAGTCCAAGCTGGGACCCAGGGATGAGGGAAGAGGAGCTCTTGTTCCAGTCTGAATCCCATTCCTCTTCCCAGGACCCTCTTCAGCAGAGAACAGCCTGGGCCATCAGCCAACTGGCCACCAGGAGATATCAAGCCAGCTATAGGCAGACTCGGGCTGAGTGGCAGGACTCAGGCAGTAGCTGCAGCTCAGCTCCTATGTGTGCTATCTGCTTGGAGGAATTCTCTGAGGGGCAGGTAAGGCAGGCTTGGTCACCTTCATGACTAGGGAGAGAAATGGAAGCTGGGATGGGGATGGACAGGTCTAGGGCTGGTATGGCCACCCGATGACACATGTCTTATGTGTCCTCCATGGCAGGGATCACCCTACAGTTTGGTCACCTTCTTGGTCTTTTAAGAAAAAGCAATATTGTTGAGAAGTGTCCTGTGCCAGGCCACAGTGGTGTTTTAAACACATTATCTCATTTTAGCACTATGGCAGTGAAGGGTGGGTAGTTAGATTAGGCTCTTATCCTTCAGAGCTAAAAACCGTCTGTTAAGAAACTTGAGCCAAGTATGGTGGCACATGCCTATAATTCAATTCTTGGGAGGTAGAAGCAGGAAGATCAGGAGTTCAAGGTCATCACTGGCTGTGTTGAGTGCAAAATTAGCCTGGGCCATGAGAGACTCTGTCTCAAAAAAAAAGGAAGGGAGGAAGGGGGAGGGAAGGAAGGAAGGGGAAGGGAGGGCGGGAGGAAAAGGAAAGGAAGAGATACTTGCCCACTGTCAAGTAGTGCAATCCAAATCCACCTGCTACCAAAGCCTATGCCTCCTAGTCTCCTATTCTTTTGCAAATAGGTGAATGTAAGAAGGAAAGACTAAGGGGAGTCAACGAGATGTTCTTAAGTAACTTTTGGACACCCTTGTTTTCTCCAGGAGCTACGGGTTATTTCCTGCCTCCATGAGTTCCATCGTACCTGTGTGGACCCCTGGCTATATCAACATCGGACTTGTCCCCTCTGCATGTTCAACATCGTAGGTAGGAGGTGGACCAAGGACTCTCCTGTGTGCAGGCAGATGGGTCTAGAACACAGCTGCCCTCTGGGAAAGGGTTTCTGCTGTGAAACAAACTTTGTGCACTTCCACAAAGCGTTTTCTGCCTCACACTGCCCAGAACCACCTTGTCTTCTGGGGAAGGCTGTCCATATGGTAGACATCTTCATTATTTTAAAGATCTTGTTTGTTTGTTGTTGTTTTTTTTGTCTTTTTTGAGACAGGGTCTCCTTGTAGCCCCAGCTGTCCTGGAACTCACTATGTAGACTAGGCTGGCCTCGAACTCACAAAGATCCACCTGCCTCTGCCTCGGAAGTGCTGGGATTAAAGGCGTGCGCCACCACACCAGGCCTAAGATCTTGTTTTGATGACAACATTCTTGATTCTAAATCTGAGTTACTTGCATAGTCGTTATTCTAATTTCCCATCAATAAAATACTGTATTCTAACAAATCAGTATATGTGACAATTTTCTAAAAGATGAAAGTAAAATATCTTGAGGAAAGAGAACCCTGTGCTAATCCACCCAAAGGGACAATAGGAGGTAATGGTGGCACTGGATAAAAGAGCCCCAAATGGCTGGTGGAAGGATCAGGGATTCACAACCTAACTGGAAGGGGCAGGAGAGTCCCTGGCATGGGTAAGCTTGAGATGTCCTTGTTCTTCAAACTCTGAGCTCAGAGGCTCTTCCAGATCAAATAGGATAGCTCTAGCTTCACCTTTCTGAATGCATTCTCTGTATGTTTGTAAAATCAAGTGCCTGTGTTCTTCATTCTTTTTTTCCCAGAGGGAGATTCATTTTCCCAGGCCCTGGCATCCTCTCCATCTTACCATGAACCAGGCAGGAGACTGCACCTCATTCGTCAACATCCTGGCCATGCCCACTATCATCTCCCTTCTGCCTACCTGTTGGGCCCTTCCAGAAATTCAGTGGCTCGGCCTCCAAGGCCTAGACCCTTCCTGCCATCTCAAGGGCCAAATATGGGATCTCGGCACCAGCGCCTCTCCAGAGCTGCACATGTGCGGGCATCAGGCGAGCAACAGCACCTGACAGTGGCCCAGCACCCCTATGCACAGGGCTGGGGACTGGGCCGCCTCCGATGTACCTCTCAGCATCCCACAGCTTGCCCAGTGTCCCTGCGCCGGGCCAGGCCTCATGACAGCAGCGGATCTGGAGAAAGCTACTGTACAGAACGCAGTGGCTACCTGGCAGATGGGCCAGCCAGTGACTCCAGCTCAGGGCCCTGTCATGGCTCCTCCAGTGACTCAGTGGTCAATTGCACGGACATCAGTTTGCAGGGCATCCATGGCAGCAGTTCTACCTTCCGCAGCTCCCTGAGCAGTGACTTTGACCCCCTGGTGTACTGCAGTCCTGAGGGGGATCTCCCGGGAAAGGGGTTGCAGCCTAGTGTGACCTCTCGACCCCGTTCCCTAGACTCAGTAGTGCCCACAGGGGAAACCCGGGTTTCCAGCCACGTCCACTATCACCGCCACCGGCACCATCACTACAAAAAGCGGTTCCAGTGGCATGGCAGGAAGCCTGGCCTAGAAACGGGGGTCAACCAGTCCAAATCTGCTGTTTCTCGGACTCAGCTCCAGCCAGAGCCATCTTTCCCTGACCAACAGTTCACCAGACCCAACCCAACAGCTCCTTCAATGCTCCCCAACCCACAACGGCCCAGGGCCCTTACAGAGCCAGTCCCTGGACCAGCGGAAGCTGCCAGCCCCAGCCCCGGTCCCAGCCCCAGCAGTCTTCTGAACTTGCAGAAATCCAACCTCCCTGTCCGACACCCACAGAGAAAACGGCGGGGTGGTCCTTCAGAACCCACGCCAACCTCTCGGCCCCAGGACTTGACTCTGCACCCAGCTTGCCAGGTTTTCCCCCATTATAGCCCCAGCCTGGCATACCCTTGGCCCCCAGAGACTCACCCATTGATCTTCAGACCTCCAGGCCTGGATAGGAGGCTGCTACCCGAAGCCCCAGGCCCCTGTTACTCAAGTTCACAGCCAGTGTGGTTGTATCTGACTCCTCACCGGCCTCTGGGACCACACCCACCTGGAGAGGGACATTCTGAATGGAGTTCTGACACCCCAGAGGGCAGGCCATGCCCTTACCCACACTGCCAGGTGCTATCAGCCCAGCCTGGTGAGTTTTCAGGGGAAGCAGATGTTGTGGGGAGAGGGGAATAGAACTGGGTATTGAAGGGCAGGTGAAGATAGCCACAGGGATTGATGAAAGCTGAGAAGGATAAAAAGTATTTATAAACAGAAATCACGGGTAGTTTCCAGCTGCCTTGGGGGCACCTAAAACCCACTTAGGGCTTCACTTCTAAGCACACTTGTTAATGAGGCCAACTACATGAAATCCAGTGCATCTCGGTGTCACAGCCAGTGGTGCCGGTGTAAATTCTCAGCTTTAACCCAAAGCTTTGGGCATTTATTTGCCCAAGGAGTCCCCTTCCCTTCCAGGGTGCTCTGCCTCCACTCTTTCCCAGCCTTGGGAAATATCGTGTGGAAGATACACTTCTTTGTCTATACCCACTGCTAAAAGAACCCTTCCACCTCAAAAGAGGACCCAAAGGTCCTGAAATATAAAGCCAAGAATCCTACAGGCAGGACTTGGGAGCGACTGTCATTCATTCATGCATTCCTTCCTTCTGATTGCATGTTTGCTGTATGCTAGGTTCCTGGCTGGCCAGGAGATGCAGGTCCATGGGAGACAGGCATGCAAACATTTAGCATGTAGGATAACAGTCTCCACAGAGTCCTGTAGTGCGAGCTTTCACCAGATGTTTGGTGGTTCCTTTTGGGCTTTGCCATGCATACTTTGAGTGCTGCCAGTGCCAGACCATCAGCTTCCTTTGCTCTAAACTCAGAACTAGTTCCAGTGCCTCCCTTTCCTTGCTCCTCACATCCTGTTACCCCGTTACCTGTGTCTCTATTAGTTTTGTCAAATTCTCTAAGTCTGCTACTGATGGCCCCTGCCCATGTCAGTTACACCCTGAAGGTCAAAGCAGGAGCCTCCTAGCTCTGCCCTTCCCTCTTTCAGAGCTGTAAAGGTGAGGGGATGCATGTCATGTTGTGTCCCATGCAGCTGCGGAGCCCTCTGCCCTCCACACTGCTACCAGGGTCATCAGCCTTACAGTGAACTGCTAAAAATTCAGTGCTGTTTGTCCACAACAAGGAAATAAACCCAATATGATTCTGCCTTCAGGGCTGTCACACCAGCTAGCCCCATCTTCCTTCCCAACTTGATTTTCCCCTTTCCTTCCCTTCTGCCCTCTGCCTTAGTCAAGTTGGATAAACACAGTTCCTGCTGCCCAGAACTTCCCACTGACTTCCCTGTCCCTATAAACCCAATTCTAACCTATTCCTGTAAGTCTGACTCATACACCCTCACTTTCAGGAAATCGCTCCTCATTGCTACACCTGGATGTGGTCTTTCCTCACCCTTGATGCATCTCTTATGACCGTAATGTCATGATATCCATGTGTATGCATGCCTTCTCTCCTCTGAGGTGGTTAGGTCTGCTTATTCTTTTGGATATTCTATTCGGCACATGGTAGCAGGCCAAATTCACAAAGAATGCTTAATAAATATTTATGGTGTGAATTAATGAATAGTAAGTACTGGTAATACAGTGGTTGCTGTATATATTTCTCTGGGTTTGTTTTCCTCTGCTTTGTTTCCCAATGGGACTCCTCTCAGCTTTCAACCTAATCACCTTTCCAGACAGATTTCCTGCTCCACCCTCTCTGCGGTCCCCTCCCAGCTACATTCTCCACAGGTGGGAGAAGCAGGAGCCTAGATGGACGCTCAGTGAACTCTTTCCTCCTCTCTCTTCTCTTGCAGGCTCGGAGGAGGAGCTTGAGGAGCTGTGTGAACAGGCCGTGTGAGATGATCAGACCTAGCTCAAACCATGAGTGTGCTCCAGATGGCTCAGCTTCTAGCCAGCACAGAGTCCGCGTCCTGGGAGAAGGAAGGACCTTAGCAAACATATCTTTGCCACACTTCCTGGAACCACTGGAAGAAGAGTGGTGACGGTGGGTGGCAGGAGGTGCTGTTTCCTGCCCACAGCTCCCAATCTTGTCTGCAGAACACACAGTGCAGCAAGTTTGTGTCCAGCCAGACAACCAGCCAGTGTGCATCTGTGGGCTGGATCCCTGGAGGCTGTTTTTGAGGCCAGGACGCTAGGAATGGATGTCTAGGTGTTACCAAGGTGCTGCTCTTTTCCCCAGCCCTACCGGGGTCTCCTTTGCCCCAGGCTTCAGATTCACATAAGCCAGTGGGCATGTGAATACATGACCATTTCTCACCTCCTTCCTTGGGTTAGTTCTTCACACCAGCTTTGGTCTCACCAGGGTGCAGCTTCATCAGGGGTAATCCCAGCTTTGCTGTTTTCCTTCTTCAGAAAAGAACTAGGGGTTTAGGTGAGTCTTGTTTTCTGAAGAGGTCTCTGCAGTCATTGCCTGACCTGGTGCGAGAAGAGGCATGAAGAGGTTCCCTCTTCCTGTTCTCAAATTCGTCTTAAATTGTCAGGTCAGAGAGAAGGCTCTGGGAAGCTGGGGTGTAAAGTTCTGTCCCCTGAGATGGGGACCAGTGCCTTGACATCCTGGGATGAAGCTCTTGTCAAACTCCTTGTCACTCCAGCAGCCCCAGTGGAGGTGGAGAGCAAGGGGAATGGGATGCTTCCTTGAAGATCTGTCTCACAGTCCTGAAGCAGGCAGAAAGGAGAGAATTTCTGTTAGATTTCATCTGGGAAGGGGGAGGATGGAATGATAATGAAAGCAAAATTACAGCTAAGTGGACAGCAGAGTTCTTCTCTGAGAGGTTTTCAGAGAAAGGATGGGGGAACAGCCATGTGTGACCTCTTGGGTTTGCAGGACCCAGAGGTGCACCTCCCCAGCATAAGCCATACAAACCAGTGACCCAATGTAAGGCGTGCATATGGAGTGGAGTTGGAACAAGAAGTTGGCCCGGGCAGCTTGTATCATATGGGCAAGGGCTGAGGGGCCCCCTCTAGCCTTTCACCCCAGGACTTCCTGACCACTGTTAGCCCCTCAGGCATTATCCTTGCCTGGAATGTGAATGTGGGGGCAAAGCGGGCACAGGATCCTACTTGGGAACTTTCTTTTCTCAAAGTAATGGGGAGACTGGCACCCAGGCACCCTCATGGGTATTTATATCTGAACCAGACAGAAAGATGCTTGAATCAGGCACTATGTTGAGAAATGTATTTATTTGCTAATATATTTATCCATAAATATGATCTGGCTTTGTGGTTTTGTTTTATCATGACTGTCACTCAGGGTAACAATTTCATCTTTTTGTTTTGTTCGATTTTGGAGACAAGGTCTCAGGTAGCCCCAACTGGCTCCAATTCATAGAGCCAAGACTGAGCTTGAACTCCTGGTCTTCCTGCCTCTACTTTCCAAGTACTGGGATTATAGGAATATATCATTATGCCTAGATTCATACATTACTTATGATATCAGAAGCTAGTTGGGGTGGGATGGTTTTTAAGCCCGTAAAATCATGGCTTAATGAGATCAGAAAAAAGAGCACGCCTGGATGCTCATGATTCGGTCATATGTCATTGCACTGTTCACCACTTTTAAGATGCTTCTGCTTCAGTGACTTACTTTGTAGTTTTCAGCAAATATTGTGCCTCTATGTGTGTATGTGTGTAGTGTTTGTGTGTGTACATAAGCGTGCGTGTGGAGGTGTGTTCAACTTTGTGGGCACCTGTGGAGACCAGGTGTTGACACTGGGATGTCTTCCTCAATCACTCTCCACCTTGTTTTTCAAGACAGGGTCTCTCACTGAATACAGAACTCACTGTTTCAACAAGACTGGCTGGCCACTGAGCCCCTAGGATGTGCCTGTCTCTGCCCCCCAGTGCTGTGGTTACAAGCATACACCACCATGCTCGGGTTATATGGGTCCTGGGGATTCAAACTTGGGTCCTCATGCCATTTTCCTTCTTCAGAAAAGAACTAGAGGTTTAGGTGAGCACAGTAAGCACTTTACCCATTGAGGCAGCTCCCCAGCCTGGTGCCTGGCTTTTTTCAAAAATAAAATAAACCTCCCTTAAGAGTGGATACAAGGCTTACAAGAGCAAGCAGAGTGAAAACAGATTCCAAACTGGAAAGTTATTATTGAAAGCATCCAAACTCCAGTCAAGGACCATTTGAACACAGCATGGGGCAAAGTCAAGAAGTAGTCTTGCCTTTAGAAGTTGTTTCAATTAGAAGAGCTGGAAGGACAGAACAGCGGGGATTGCAACTATTTATATCCCAAAGCTCCAATTCAGATCAACACAAATGACTAATGTTCTGCCTACAGTCCAAGAGAGCTGGTGCTTTCTCTGTATGAATTGGCTTGTGTCAGGAGCGGTTTTTGCTCTCTTCACACTAGTTTCCCCTGCTTCTCTAGGATGGTTTCAGGATACTAGGTGTCCCGGCGCCCAGTTTAGAAAGAGCAAGGCATTTTGCTTCCTATAACTGGGGTAGGGGAGTATGAGACGCCTAATCTACAGATGTTCTCAAGGAACTGTCTAAATGCCAAGAGTTGTACAAAGCGTAAATTATCAGCTGGGAAACAACGCAAACTAGAAGCTTTTAAGAGGAATTAAATATGCATTCTCCTCCACCCCCAGCCGTCAGATGGGCTCTTAGGCTAGCATTCCTGTGGACAGCAAAGAATCCCTATCAGGCTCTCACAGTTACAAGAAGGGGTGGGGCATCGCTGGATTTGTTTTCCGTGTCTGCGGAGACAATCCAGAGAGACAAGGGCTCACTGTCTCAAGTTTTAAGCGCAACCAGGACATGATGATGCATGCCAGAATTCTCAGCATTCAGGAGGCTGAGGCAGGAGGATCGAAGAGTACAGATCAACCTGACAACATAGGGAATTCTGGGTCAAGCTTGTCTCAAAAAAGTGAAATAACCGGACGTGCGGGGCCGGGCCAATAATTCCAGCACTCTGAAAGTGAAGGCAGGAGGATCAGAAATTCAAAGTCATCGTCTGCTGCGTAGTGAGGTGGAGACCAGTTTAACATGAGACCTTGTTTCACTAAGCACATAAAATAAAAATAAAGTAGGCAAACAGAAAAGAATCTAGGTTGTCAACGGGGATCTTAAGAGCAGTAAGGCCTGGAACTAGCAGGCGACATCAAAACGCCCGAGGCTAGAGCGCTCAGCTTCAGCGCTCCTCTCCTCGCGCTCTGCGCATGCGCCGGCTGCTTCCCCCCCCCGCCCCACCCAAGTCCCCTTCCCAATGGCCGCCTGCGCCGCTCTCCCGGCGCTGACCCAGGTGGCCGCGCGCGCCACCCAGGTGTCTGCCGGCCGCCCCGCCTCCGCTCTCGGCGGGAGAAACCATCTCCTTGCCACGGGAGGGGGAGGGGCGGGGCCAGAGCCCTCATGCCCCGGAAGGGGAAGTAGAATAACGGAAGTGCAGGCATTCTGGGTAATGCTGTCAACTTCCGGTGGCTGTGGTCCTTCTGACTGTATCTCCCTGTTCTTCGGTCGGTGGACATGGCTCTGGAGACTGTGCCGAAGGACTTGCGGCATCTGCGGGCTTGTTTGCTGTGTTCGCTAGTCAAGGTGTCCGTCGGGGAACCTAGTTGTAGGAGCGTTTGGGGAGACAGAGTGGGAGAAAAGGGTGAACCGGCCGGAGACGGAGACGAGGAAAGAAAGATGTGGGAGATAGCCAGGGGAGGGGGACGCCTGAGGGAGCCATCGTTTACGTCGCAGGAACACGAGCAGGTCCTGCAGCTGGGGGCACGGGCCCTCGTACGTGCTTTTGAATCCTTTCGAGGAACTGATGTTGGAGCGCAAAGACCCTAAGGGAGCGCGGGAATCTGCACCCGAGAGTCGTTGGAGAGGGTTCCTGACCCGGAAGAGACTAGAGAAAGTAGCTTAGGCGGCTCTGGGAACCAGAGAAAATGTGAGAGCGGAATTTAGTAAGCGTTTGGGAGCAGTAGGTGTTGCACCTGGTTAAAAAGAGACTGTACCGAGAACCAAGATGTTGACTGTTTCAGGATACTAAGAGATACCTCATAAACCCTATTTTTGTTTCCTCCCAAGACTATAGACCAGTTTGAATATGATGGTTGTGATAATTGTGATGCATACCTACAAATGAAGGGTAACAGAGAGATGGTATATGATTGCACCAGCTCTTCATTTGATGGGTAAGCCCCTTTACCATTCCTTCACTTGTACGCCACTTTCCCTGACCCAAGAGGTAAATGTGGGACAGATCCTTTGGGGTCATAATGCTAGTTGGTCTCAACAGTTATTTGGGACCCACACATCCTATGGATCCAGTCCAGAAGCCACTAGTAGTTTCTGTGTATTTGACATGTGGCCAGTTCAGATCGAACTATGCTTAAATGTCAGATATACAGCAGATCGAAAGATTGAGCGTGAAGAAAAAGAACATGAAATCATCAATTTTTTAATTAGTTAAATATTGAAGTGACAGAGTTTTAGATTTATGGGTTAATTTCATGTTTTTCCCTTTACTGTTTTAAAAGGTGGCTAGAAGAAAATTTAAAATAATGTATGCTTTTATTGTGTTTACAATAACTTTCACTGCTCTGTCAACTCATTGATAGCAGAGGTTTAACCTGTGCCCTACTATCCAGCACAGGATTTGGGAGGTGGTAGATGCTTAATGTTGAAGGACTGGGAGTATGGTACAACAGTAGAGCATGTGATTACCATGCACAAGGCCCTGGATTTAATTCCTAATGCTTCTCCAAAAATGTTAGATGCATGAAGAGCCATTTTGAAAGAGAAGGGAAAGGAAGGTATAATAATGGTAAATAATTACCTCATAACTCATGATCTTCGTTGCACCTGTTGACATGAACCTGTAATCCCATCACTTGGGTGGTAGAAGCAGGAGGATCAGGCATTCTGGACAAGCCTGAAGCTACATGGTGAGTTTGAGGCTAGCTTGGCCTACATGAGGTCTCCTTTAAACCAGGCTGGGTGTGGTGGCCCACGCCTTTAATCCCAGCACTCCAGAGGTAGAGAGGCAGAAAGATCTCTGAGGTGTGGCACAGACCTGATGACCTGCGTTCAATCCTTGGATCCCACAAGGTGGCAGGAGAGAATCAAATCTGAATACTTGTTCTCTGACCTAGCTTGCATGCACATGCATTCACAAACCTACCCACCCGTATAAAATATATAAATTCATAATTAAATAATAAAAACAAAATAAACCTGATGATCTTGAAGAGGCTTACAAGCCCATATGAAGAGTTTTCTTTTGACAAAATGTTGCTTTGGCGAGGAGAAATGAGAGGGGCATGGATGGCCAGGTCTTCCCTAAAGTAGCGGTACTGCTTAGTTTCTTCTAGCTTCTACGCCAGTTAAGGATTGGCATACACACTGGGCTTGATACCAGTACTTGTTAAGGTTCTTTCAGGTGGGACTGATTTCCTTTATGGAAGAATAAAAAATTGGGCAAAAAGTACGTTGACATGGGGAAGCTTTAGTTCCTTTTTGTGCGTATACTTACTCATATATTCCAGTCCCTTTGTTCCCTCCTTAGCCACTACAGGTTGATGAATGAATAAAGAAGCTGGGTGTGTTGCTGCAACTGCAGTCCCAGCACTCAGGCTGAGACAGGGAGCTCACAAGTACCAGGCAGGCCTGGGCTATATGACAAGATTCTGCCTGAAAATATAAAACCTAAAATAGATTCCCATCTAGAAGTAAAATTCTTTGCTAGCTATTGTTGAGAGATGGTTAAGAGTTGTGCAATGAGATGATCTGAAACACAATGTGAAGCCTTACCAATTTAACCATATTTATTTTAAAGATTTGGGTTTTTTTGTTTGTTTGTTTTGGTCTTTTTGAGACAGGGTCTTCCCGTAGCCCTAGCTGTCCTGGAACTCACTGTGTAGACCAGGCTGGCCTTGAGCTCACAGAGATCCACCTGCCTCTGCCTCCCAAGTGCTGGGATCAAAGGTGTCCACCACCACACCTGGCTAAAGATTTGTTTTACTCTTTTAATTGTGTGTATGTGTGTGAGCATATGTATAGGTGCCTGAGGAGGCCAGAGGTGTGGGATCCTCCTGGAGCTAGACTTATAGCTGGTTGTGAACTGACCTTCGTGATTGATGGGAATCAAACTCTGGTCCTCTGCAAGAGCAGTATGGACTCTTAACTACTGAACCATCTTTCTAATCATTTTTTTAAAGTGATGTAGCCCAGGCTGTCCTAGAGCTTCTGATCCTCTTGTCTCCTCCCAAGTACTGAGATCATAGGCATACACAGCCACACCCAGCTTGAGTATAACTGTTTTAAAGTATATAGTGCAGTGATATCACTCCATTTATATTGTCTAACCATTATCTCCATCTCTAGAGCGGTTTTCTGTATCCATTAAGCTTCCCATTCCCATTCCCTGCTTCACCAGCCACCATTCTTCTGTCTCTATATGTAACTGGAATCATCTTTGTCCTTTTTATTTGGTTTATTGAACACTTAGCATAATGTCTAAAAGGTTCATCTATGTCAGAATATGTATCAAATTTCCCCTTAAAAATACTTGAATTATGCATGTGTATTTTCACATGAGTGCAGGTGCCCACTGAAGTCAGATGCATTGGATCCCTTGGAACTTGAGTTACAGGTGGTTGTGAGCCTCCTGATATGGGTGCTGAGAATCCCACTTGGGTCCTCTGGAAAAGCAGTAGTGGCTATTAGTCACTGAACCATCTTTCCAGCCCCCAAACTTCCCTAAGTTAAACTGAATATTTCATTATATGTATATGTAACACCTTTTAAAAATCTGTTGATGGTTGTGGGCTTCTTTTTAAAGATTTGTTTTTATGTGTGTGTTGGTCTGCACATATGTATGTGCACCTCATGTGTGCCTAGTGCCTGAGGAAGCCATAAGAGGGCGACAGATACCCTGGAATTGGAGTTACCCAGGTGTAAGTGCTGGGAACCAGACCCAGGTTCTCTGCAAGAGCTGTTAACCACTGAGCCATCTCCAGCCCTGATGGTCATAGGTTTCTTACCTCTTGACTATTGTGATAATACTGCTATGAATACTGATGAACACATTCTGCTTGAGTTCTTTCTATCTTTTGGGTATATGTCCATTTGGAATTGCTATCATAAAGTCATGTGTTAATTGTTTGAGGAACTGAAAAACAGTATTTGAATGTTCCACTTTCTCCCATCCCCACACACTTTGTTGCTTTCGGGAGTTTTTGTATTTTATGTGTACGAGTGTATTGTGTACGTGTAAGTGAGTGCATCTGTGTCGTGCAATGCTGAGGAGGTCAGAAGAGGGCTTCGGATTCCCCTGGAACTGGAGTTAAGAACAGTTCGTAGCCATTGTGTGGGTGCTGGGAATCAAACCTGGGTCCTCTGAAAGAGCAGTCAGTGCTCTTACCCACTGAGCCATCTCTCCAGCCCCTATTAAAGCCATTTTAAAAAGTTTTTTTATTTTCAGTGCTAGAGATTGAACCCAACATCTCACATATGCTAGGCAAGCTGCTACCACTGAGCTACACCTCAACCCCAGTGTGTTACGTATCTTGTATGTTTATTGTCTGTCCAAACCCTCCAGCCATGGTGGTGCAAGATTAATCCCAGCATTTGGGAGGTAGAAGCAGGAGGATCAAAAGTTTGAGGCCATCCTAGATTACTTAAGGAGACCTTGTCTCATAAAAAGAAAAGAAATTAAAAAATCAGTCCTTTCCTCCCTCCCTGCCCCTCCTTTTTTTCTTTTGTTTTTTTGTTTTGTTTTGAGACAGGGTCTCATATCATGCAGCCCAAACTGGCCTCAAATTTAATATGTACTAGAAGATGACCTTAAAGTCCTGATCCTCTTGCTTCCTCCTCCTGAACACTAGGATTAAAGGTATGTACTGCCATGCCCAGTCAAAACTAGGCTTTCAACATCTTTAAATCTGGTTGGGTTTTGTTTGTTTTGAGTTGCAAGAATTATGTATTCTAGTGCATATACTTTTAAAGAATCAGCAAGTCAGAGGCTAATGGAGAACGAGGGAGGGCTAAATGATATCTGCCAGAGGTAGAAGAAGCAATTTTTTTTTTTTCTTTTAAAGAGCTGTAGAATTTGTGTCTGTCTGTGCGTGATTGAATATTGAACTTAGGGCCTTTGTGTATGCTAAGGGAATGCTGTATTCCCCCTTTTTTACTTTTTGTTTTGGGCATAGACTCATTCTAAGTTGCCTAAACAGTTTGAACAGTCTTCCTACTTGTGCTGGCTAATCTTGGTTGTCAACTTGACACACCTGGGAAAGGGAACCACCTTTGAAGAATTGCCTCCTTTACATTTTCTTGTGGGCATGTCTTTGGGGCATTTTCTTGATTGCTAATTGATGGTGGTTGCCATCCCTGAACTGGTAGGCCTTGGCTATATAAGAAAAGTAGCTGAAGGGCTGGGGAGATGACTCAGCGGTTAAGAGCACTGGCCTCTCTTGCAGAGGACCTGGATTTGGTTCCTAGCACCCACATGGTTGCTAACAACAGTCCATAATTCCATTCCAGGTGATCTGACGCCCTCTTCTGGCCTCTGTGGGTATTACATGACACAGATGCACTTACATGCATACAGGCAAAGCATTCATACATGTAAAATAAATAAAATTTAAAAAAGAAAAGAAAGGTAGCTGAACAAGCCAGTAAGCAGTGTTCCTTCATGGTCTGTGCTTGAGTTCCTGCCTTGGCCTCCCTCCATGGTGGTCTATAACCTGTAAGATGAAACAGACAAGAACACTGCCTCAGCCCGAGTGGCTGGGACTACAGGCTTGCCCCATCAGGCCTGAGGTATAGGATTTTTGAGGAAGTTGAGATGAGGTAGAAAGATTTCAGATAAAAGGAGTAACTAGAGCAGAGGCATAGTTTGGAAAAACCAGGGTACGTTTAGAGGAGTGGAAATTCTGTTAGATTAAATCATTTGGGTAACAGGGACTGTAGGCTGGAAGGGTAGATAGTGAAGGACAGAGTGTGCTGACGGGGGAGACAGCCTTCATACATGCCTATCCCAGAGCAATCTGCAGGGCCAGGTGGTTCTTCTCATCCTACTTGTCAGTCCTGGAGGTGAGGTTAGTTGCCCTCAAACCACATGGTGAAAACAGACCCCAGCATTATTTTGTTACCAGGAGAACAGGGAATATGGGCATGGAGGAGGCTGTCAACATGTCAGTGCCTAGAACAGACCTGATAGTATAGGCTCTGGAAACTTTGATTGGATGAATAACAGAAATAACTGCCCTAGCTGCTCATGGCACCTGGCTGGTCTCTCTTACTCAAATAGTGACTTTCTGTCCTTAAATAGCCTTTCTGCTATCCTGCCTGTGGAATTGGAACTGCTGGGAAAGGACTGTTGGAGTAAGGAGAAGCAGCACTTAGGTAGCATCTACCCTCTTCCAGTCTCGGTTCTAGGCACTTTCATGTACTATCTGAAGTAGAGTCTCAGCTTTCTAGTGAAAATCTGTGAGATGTCTCCATATGTACTTCAGACTGATAGTTAATTAGAGGAAGGACTTGGCCAACCCTTAACTCATTCCATTATTTTGACAGACCACTTTGCACTAGGCTCCAGGCCCCTAGTTGTTGGGTTGGTTGTAATCAGGAGGGGTCACCAGCTGCTAAAACTCTTTACTGGCCAGCCAGGGACATAGAATGAAGAACCTTTATCAGTCCCTTCCCAAGTCAGCTCCTTCCCAACATTAGAGCTATTTTCCAGCTTTCCTTGGTGACCCAATATATGACTTTCTCCTGGGGTTCCTTTCCCAGAACCTGAGCTTGCTGAGTAGACCTCTGTAGCAGGGTGGGTTCAGGCTGACTCTTTCTTTTCCCTCTCTAGAATCATTGCAATGATGAGTCCAGAGGACAGCTGGGTCTCCAAGTGGCAGCGAGTCAGTAAGTCTCTCCTTATCCTGGCCTATTCATTGTTGGTAATGTGCTTCAAGGTCAAGCAAGATACCTTAAATCAGCAGGGTGTATGGTCCCATAGTGGGAAAGATGGGATTATAGGAAAGACAAGCCTTAGAGCCAGCAAGATGGCTCAGCAGCACCAAGTCTGTTAACCTAAGCTAGATCCGTGGGACTCACATAGTAGGAGGAGAGAACTGACTTCTACAAGTTGTCTTCTCACTTCTACATGTGTGCTGTGGCATACACACAAAACTTCCATTTTTGGTTTAAGCCTCCATTTGGTCTTTGGTCTTAACCATTGTAATTTCCTTTTTTTTTCAGGTAACTTTAAGCCAGGTGTGTATGCAGTGTCAGTGACTGGTCGCTTGCCCCAAGGTACTAACAGCTGTAATAGCCAGTGTTCACTTACTGTACCTGCCCCTGTGGAAGCCATTCTTTTATGTGAATTAACACCAATAACGTCCTTTATCACCTAAGCATTTGGCCCCAGAACCCTTATATTAAAGATTTATTTTATGTGTTAAAGTGTTTTGCCTGCATGTATATCTACACACCATGGAGTGCTTAGTGTCCAAGGACACCAGAAGAGGGCACCAGATCCCCTGGAACTCGAGTGATAAGCAGTTTTGAACTTCCATGTAGGTGTTGGGAACCAAACCCAGGTCCTCTTTAAGAGCAGCAAGTGCTCCTAACTAAGCCATCTCTCCAGCCCCCAGAACCCTTGTTTTTATGACTATATAAGCCCTACTTTCTCTTTTCATTTTACCTGGTAACTATTTGCTAGGCACTTTGCCTGGATCTTCAGCAATAACAGAGCAACCACCACACAGGAGTCTTGAAGAGCAGCTTATGAACTTGGGTTTGTTTGTAACCCCATCTCACGAGGGCAGATGACGGCTTTTGTCTTCGTGAATCTTTTCTTATGGAACTGTTTCTTTTTCTATCACAGGAATTGTGCGGGAGCTGAAAAGTCGAGGAGTGGCCTACAAATCCAGAGACACAGCTATCAAGACCTAGCTGGGTGCAGGCCTACAGCGTCTTTGCTTTTTGCTTCTGGCCTTTGCTTGTTTTGTTGTGGAACTAAACAGGCAGAACTTCAAACTTGCCCTCCAATCCAGAATCAGCAGACTACTGAGCAAGCAGTACCCCGGGTCCTTGTGTCATTTCACCTTCTTTGGAGTGCTGGTGGAAGTGGGAGAGCTGGGGTTGGTGGATTCTCGGGGACTAAATTGAGGGGAGAGTAAGATGCTGCTTTTCCTACCCATGCCCGTGAGCAGAACCTGGGGTCAAATGCCAATAAACACGAACCTCTGGAGTGTTCTTAGAGCTGTGGCACATGCCTCATCTTCCTTTCCCTTTCACAGTAAAGACTTACCCTGTGAGCACTGTGGCAGCTCAGCAGAGGCCCTTCTCTGGCCCTGTTTTTGAGGCTGCAGAGGTATAGACTGCTGTGCCTGCTGGTGCGTCACTGAGAGATATGTCCTGAGGCAGGTAACCTGACTGGAAGTCGAGCATCCTGATCCGTGGCCCTGGCACAGCACTCACCTTTGAAGGAGTCCTGAGGCGTTCTGCTGCCTTTTACCCCTTGGCCCCGTGTGGTACCTCTTTGTCCTCCTCTGTCTACTGCTCTTCTGTGCCCTTGCCAATTTCACATTGTCCTGACCAGGCCAGAAGCGGCTGTTGGAACTTGGTCTGGATCTTTGCTTCCATGGAAAGTGAGCCCTTCTCTGGCCTGGGAGGGAGCTGTGTGTGAGTTATGTAATATTGTCCAAGGTGAGTTATAGAATGCAATTTTACCATATCATTAAATCACGGAAACTGTAGTAGCTCCATTTTGATTTCTCTTAAGTTCTCCATCTGTAAAATGGGAGCAACCACTCCTGTTCATCCTGCCCATTTACCTCAGGATCATTGTGACTGGAAATGAGGCAAAGAGAAAATTCTGTAGCAAGTCTTATAAAAGGGGCAGTTGTCACACATGCCTGTAATCCCAGCACTCAAAGGCCAAGGTTAGATAGCTCAAAGCCAGTCTGGGCCACATGAGACCCTGTCTCAAAAAGCCAAAATAATAATTTTAAAAATAATGTAAAACTTCCTCTATGTTTAATTAGCCATTCTTCAATATTTAAACTATCTTCACAGTTGCTCAAAACCGGGAGTATGCCAGGAACCCCACTTCGGGCTGAGTGCTGGCTCACTAACAAAGCTGCCTTCCGTAGGCTGTGTCTCAACCACCTGGTGCTGCTAGTGAGTCAGTTTCAGGTCACCTGTAGCAGGGAATGTGGCTGTCTCCCCTACCCTGTCCTGGTCCTGCCCTAGGCCCATGGAAAGCAGGCTGGGAGTGGTTAGGCTGCTCACACATTCACTCATGGGTCTCCATAGGAACGTCCTTACTGTGTCCTCAAGCTCCAAGGGAATGGGCTATTAACCTCAATTCCAAAGAGCTTTTCAAGGACTTCCCTAGCCCAGCCAACTAAAAACTCCACAGTGGTGATTTCTCTAATTGACTTTCAACCAAATAGGAGCCTTGGTCAACAGCCATAGCAACTGCCAGGCTAGAATTGCCTCCTGGAGGTTTCCCCAAGGGTGCCTAGGCTGTGCAGCCAACACCTAAACTTTCACTGGCTTTTCTCAAAAGTCCCTTGGAAAGCCCCAGCTGCTGTCCTGTGTATCTGACCCAGACGTGACTGCTTGGTGAGAATGGAAACAGTTGTGGGGAGGGGAGGCAAGAGGAGCCTGCACAAATAACCACATTTGGGCTGAGTCCCACACCTAGCTGGGCCCCAACTGTCAATCTCACAGGAAACGAAGACACAAGCACTGTTGATCATGGGGGCAGGGGTCCTGTGCGGCTACCCGATACAGGAGCTGCTTCTGAACTGTTTTCTGGGCTGTCTGGTACTTAGATCTACACGTGCTGCCGCTTGCTAAGCAGTCCAAAGTAAAGTGATGGCGTCCCAGCTCCTACTGTGAGCCTAAAGATGCTAGGAAGGGGAACTTGGTCCCAGTCTCAGGGTGGGCTGTCCTATGACGGGGCTGGGGGTTAGGGTGTATTTTAAATTCCAGTACATTCTACCTCCAATGAGGGCTCAGGCCAGTGCTTATCAAAGTTTAGCCCCATTCTAGCATATGAGGTTTAAATTTGGCCCAGCAATTTTTCTTTTTTTTTTGTCTTTTTGGAGATGGTCTCCCTGTAGCCCCAACTGGCCTGGAACTCACTGTAGACCAGGCTGGTCTCAAATTCAGAGATCCACCTGCCTCTGCCTCCCAAGTGCTGGGATCAAAGGTGTGTGCTACATGCCCAGCTAGGCCCAGCGTTTCTCTTGGTACCCGCTCTCCCCTTCAGTGCTGGGGATTGAACCTAGAGCCTTATGCATGCTAGGCAAACATTCTACCACTGAGCTACACCCCCAATCCTCATTTTACTTTTTTAGTCAGAATCTCATTAATTTTGTAGGCTGGCGTTGAGTTCATCCTGTAGCCCAGGCTGAACTTGAACTTGTGATCCCATGGCTCTCGAGTAGCTGGGATTACAGGGGTGCACCACCGGGCCTGGCTCCTCTTGGTTTCTTGCTCAGTAGTTTGATCTGGATCCTTTAGGGGGACAAGACTCCTCCCACTTCAGTGGGATAGATTCAACTCAGACAAAACACTAGAAAGGGCAGCAACCAAACTGCTTTCCCCTTTCTGGGTTCCTCATTTTCTATTTCCTGCTACCAAATGCCCTGAGGTCAGGGTCTCTCAAAAGCTGAGGGGCTTAAGTGCAAGTGTAGTGATAACAGCTGGCAGAGCAAGGGTCAGTCAGGATGTTGCGGTCTCAGAAAACAGCAGTTTCCCTAAGAATAACAGCAATCAGCTAACAAAGGCTTAAGCTCAGACTTGCCAGGTTCGGGGACTGAGACCTTGTTCTTGATGTGGCCATTATGTTACTCCGTCTGTCTGCAATCTGCTATTTAATCCTCAAGCCTGTCCCCCACTCCCAGACACTGGATCTCTCTGAATATAAAATAGCACTGGGGAAGCAGAGGCAAGTGGATCTCTGTGAGCTTGAGGCTAGCCTGGTCTACATAGCAAGTTTCACAGGGAGACCCTATCTCAAAATACACACACACACACACACACACACACACACACACACAATTTTTAAAAAGGCAAAAGCAGACTAATATCTTACTTTGGGAGTCTTGTTCATGTTTAGTAAAAACTTTCATGTAAATAGTATTTTGCAGTTGACAAAGGTCTTTTACATCCTTTATCTCATCTGATCCTCACAAAGCCCCTGGGACATAGTTCACATCCTTATTTAGCAACAAGGAGGCATTGCAGAAGTTTAAAGGGGCTTGGCCATGACTAAGTAGTAGAGCCTTAGCTCAGGAAATACACAGTTTTGCGCCACTCTTTTCCACGTGGTTACCCCCAAACAGCAGCTTTGCTGCCTTTGTGAGTGCTGCACAGAGCCAGTGTGAGGCGTTAACTGCCCAACACATCGTCTCTGCACACTGGACCCCGTCAACCACCCTATTCTTAACACTTCTAGTCCCCGATTCTAAATTTAGCCACAGAGTGGGGCACAGGGAAATGGACCAGCCCTTCAGTTCTCTCCAGCTGCATCTTCTATTCATCTCCAAGTACTAGGCACCTGGGAACCTGTGCCCCACATTTTCTACCCTCTTCTGTGTTTTCTTCCTCCCCACCTTCCTCCACTTGCAGCCTGATTATGGCACCATGACACCCTCCTGGAACACAGACACTTGTGTGTGATGAAAACATGTATTCCATCTAAGGGCAAGGGTCCCTGTACCCCGGCCCTGCTGCCTTGCTAGCATTGTCTGTGACCTAAAATCATCACATCTACACGTTTCTTCTCTACAAAATGCAGTTGATAAAGCTAGGGTGCTAGTGCTAGTCTGTTTCTCTCTCTCTCTCTCTCTCTCTCTCTCTCTCTCTCTCTCTTAGCTTTTTTTGTCCCCTTTTTAGTGGCTTTTTGAGATAGGGTCTCATGTAACTCAGGCTGCCCTCAAACTATGTAGCTGAGACTGGTCTTGAATTTCAGATCCTCCTGCCTCTACCTCCTCCGCGCTGGGATTGCAGGTACAAACCACTATGCTTGGCTGTATTCTTTCTTTGATCTGGATGCTAGTTTTGCAGGTCAATTTGCTTTCTGAAAATTCTGAACACTTGTGATTTATTTACTTTTGTGTGTGTATATTATACTTCAAAGAAAGTTTGCTTAAAGTTGACACTTCCTGCCTTAGGATGCTTGTGAGAATCTTTAGGAAAAAGCAATTGACACTATAAATCTATATTAGGAATTGTCTACCTTTAGATAGGTATGGCAAAAATTTATCTAACATTGTTTGGACAACTAGGGCTCAAAACAAACATTTTCCTTTGGGCAAGAGATCTCCCTTCCTTCCTTCCTTCCTTCCTTCCTTCCTTCCTTCCTTCCTTCCTTCCTTCCTTCCCTCCTTCTTTCTTTCTTTCTTTCTTTCTTTCTTTCTTTCTTTCTTTCCTTCTTTCTTTCCTTCTTTCTTCCCAATTCTGGGGCTCAAACCTATGACTTCACACCTGATAGCTCATCACTCAGCCACTGAGACAGAGTCTCAGCAAGTTATTCATACTGTCCTAAAAACTTTGGAACCCAGGCAGCCTTTGAACTTTCAATCCTCCTGCCTTCATTGCTTGAGTAGCTGATATTACAGGCCTGCAGCACTAGACCCACCTGTTCTCATTTTTTGTGAGATAAATTTTTGTGTGTGTGTGTGTGTGTGTGTGTGTGTGTTTTGATGGGAATCAAACCAAGGGTGTTGTGTATATTAGACAAATGTTATACCACTGAGATATATACCCAGTCTTATTTTCAAATGTATTACATACTTCTTTGCTATTTGCATACAAGAGTCAGAATGCAATTTAACCTCTACTTAGCTCAAAGTCATTGTTATGAGCCTCTGTTGTTGTATCCTGTACGAAAATGGTTCCAAGACTAATTATTTTTCTACCTCTTGTCAGCCTGTCAGCTGTCACTTCTGTTACTTGTGCGTACCTGTCTCCCTTCCAGTCTTCCCTGAGCTAGAGGAATAGGCAGCTATACTTGGTACAATAGTATAGTGGGTGATTGGTCCAAATTATAGAATGGTGGATGATTGAGTGAGGCTTAGGTTGAGGAAAGGACATGGCTGTTGGCTTGGGCCTTGGGCTGAGCTTAGAGGCCTCCATTTGTGGGAGGGCAAGCTCTGGAGTGCTGAGGCTGTAGGAATTGCAGGAGTCATACTTAAGGCCAGCCTTCCACCTTATGAGTGAGGAGACTACATTAGCCTGACTTCAAGAGG